TGGATTTTATATGACAAGAAAGAAATGCACAAATGTATTTTGAAGAAAAAAATAGCATGAGAATATATTTTAAATATAACTATGTAAGTGCAGGATTCTGTAATGCTGTGTCACAGACCTTGTCTACTGTTCTCTGTAAACTCCTCACAAAATGCTTTCAACGGATGACTTGCAAAGAATGTATCATGTTGTAAACTTTCTGAACAAGCTTTTTCCCCTTTCTACCTCGGTAGTGCCATCAGAGATAGTGAATTTCTGATGGAAAGCTGACCGGATCATTGGCACAGAAAACGATGTAAAGTGCAGAGAGCAGTCTGTAGCTACACACACCCAACTAGAGTATTGGTTCAAGTTTTTGTTGTGGACTTGATTGTGCTCAGGGTGCAAGCCCAGGAGAACATAAATACCTAAAGTGCAGTTCAGCAACTGAGTAGTTTCTGATCAACAGATGTGGGTATTATAGTTCTGCCATGATAGGGATACAAAGGAACTAGATTTTTTCTTCAATGAAACTTGAATACTGTGTAATTACTATTCATTATAATAATAGTACTTAAACTTCACATTCACAGTATGCAGTAAGCCTTCTACCTGCATCCCAGTTCCTCCAGTGCTTTAGTAGAAATTGTGACTATTTTGACATTTTCTTCAATTGTTCAGCAGACTGGGTGGCCCAGGGGAATGGTCACAGCCTCAGGTTGTGGATGTTCAAGCCCATCTCAAGACACACTCTGGTATCTCCATGTCCTTTTTGAACTGAGGGACACAGAACTGGACACAGCACTTGAGGTGTGGCCTCACCAGTGCTGAGTACAGAGGGACAATCACTTCCTTGGTCCTGCTGGCCATGCTATTCCTGATCCAAGCCAGGATGTCATTGACCTTCTTGGCCACCTGGGCACACTGCTGGCTCATGTTCAGCTGCACCTCCATGTGCCTGTTGGCCAAACAGCTCTCAAGCCTCTCCTCCTCCACCCTGGAGCACTGCAGGGGGTTGTTGTGACCCAAGTGCAGCACCTGGCACTTGGCCTTGTTGACTCTCATGCACTTTGTCCTCAGCCCATCGATCGAGCCTGTCCAGGTTGCTCTGTAGAGCTCTCCTACCCTCACACAGAGCCTTCTTACCCTCCAGCAGATCAACACTCCCACACAACTTAGTGTAGAGAAGGACAGGGCACGCAGTAGGAATACAGCTATGGCTCTGGGTTGGTGAGGAAGAACAAACCTAAGAATCAGACAAAGCTGATGTTTTTAGCTCATAAAAATTAGAAGAAAGAAATGTCATTTCTAAACATTAATTAATCATGTCTAGACTTTTGAGAGAAGGCTTGTGGTGATGACATACAAAATTTTTAAAGGTAACAAACCTAACTACACTGTTACAAAACACTGCGTCATTTTTAAATCTGTCTGGTCTCTTGTTTAGTCTGAAAGCATTTGTGGGAAAAATTAGGAGAAAGTTCTTTGCTTTAGTGGTCACCTGCAGTTTCAAAAAATGCATAAAATGTAATTTCAGCACCTTGAGTAGATGATGTATTGCATATTCTTCAGTGCAGTTTCTGGATGTCTGCACCAGATTTCACAAGGTAATCAGTTGTAACGTGGAGTTGGTCTGAAGCACTCACCACCATTAGAGGCTTATTCCTGTAAGTAGTGAGTTGGACAATGTGATTGATCCTAATTTTCACTGTCTCTGATAGAAGTTACAGTCTGGTTCCAAGAATTCTGGCAAAGAAGTGAAACAATATGGGAGCACGTTCGTTCTTAAACTTCTGGGGTTTTTCTTGTTTACTGAAGAAGCACATGACCTTTGAATTACATTCACAGTGGTGATTTTGTCTGTTTTGGTATAGCATCTGGTTTGGTAAGGAAACATTTTCCTGTTCTTAGTAGCCAGAGTGTGCTGGTAATCATACTGGATAGTAGCTTGTATTTAGACTAGTTTGGAAAGTTCTTCTCAATGCTGTTAGCGTTTCAAATATTGCACTAATATTTATTACCTTATTTTAAGGAAACTGAGAATCACTCATTGTTTAATCTCTTGGAGGAGCATGTTGTCTTTATCCTCAATCTCTGTATTTATAAATTCCTTCCAGTTTATTTGAAAACACAGATTCTCTGTGTAGCCAGTGAATGTACTCTACTTCAGCTGTTTTTCTCAACAATCACTAATTGTTGTTTTCTAGTAAAATGCTTAAATCTAGAAAGCGTATGTTATACACAAGAGCACTTGGAAATTGGAAAGAATTCTCACTGAGACATGAGTAGGTTTTAGACATGCATAAAGATAGAGAGATTGCTATTGACATCAGCCTGCCCAGCTCCACAGTCTTTTCTGTTTGGTTTCCCTTTGTGTTTCCCAGTGCACCAGGCAGATGTTGGTATAAATTTTATGTAGAAACCTGCAAATAATGCATTATTACAATAAAAAGAATTATTTTGAATTTTACTTTATTTCAAAATAAATACAAAAAGTATGTTCAAAATTAACTTACCAAGTTCCAAATTGATAGACTGTGAGTGTATCATGTGGAAACCAGCTATGCATAAACCCAGCTCCCTTGTTTGTCATTTGGGTGCAGAATAACCTGGGGATTATTTGGATATACCAGCTCTTCTGAGAGTGTTTCATGTGTGCAGAATGGCCCTTTGTCCAGGAATTCTAGACACTCCAAAATCTGATAGATTGCCATTTACAGGACATTACCTGTAAAGCTGAAGGGCAGTGGCAGCACAGGGAGCTCCTGTCAGAGCCAGTAGACTTGGCAGATTTGAAAGTGTTAAGATTGTAAACTCAGGCATCTGGACCTTAAGAAGCTCAAGCTGGGACTGCTTGAACAGCCTTAATTTGACCTACCTTGTGTGGATGATTCGGTTCTGATGGCATAGGTTTTATTTATTAACACAATCTTACTGCATTCTTTGCATTTCGGTTCATACTTGTTGAACAAATTCCGAGTTTTGGGGCTTATCTTGTTGGACTGTGGATTCCAGACTTCATTTACTACACAGACCCCCCCCCCCCCAAACTCTGAAATACATACAGAACTCTAATGATTTTATTGTCAAAGTTTTTAGTGAGGTTTTTGTTATAGTGTCTGTATATATTGACCATATTAAATTATCTTTATAGCAGTCCTGCAAGATTAATAGCAGTATCTTCTTATTTTTAACTGACATGAGATGAAAAACAAAGGGAGATTAGGCCAGTATTATCAAAATCATGGACTAATGCTGGATGCTTAGCTTGGAATGACTAGGATGTCTTTTCTCAGAGTACTTTTTGATGTTCAGAGCAGTTATTTTGAGATGCCGAAGGGAGTGCTTAGCACTCCTAAGGATTCAGGCTCAGAAGTGTTAAGCTGACTATCTAGAATTTGAAGAATGTTACATGAGAAAACTTTGGGTTTGAAGATTTTCCCATGACCATAAAAGAAACTGTATATCAGAGGCAGAGTTTTAACTGCTGTTCACCTAAGACTACCCAGGTTTTATTGTAGATGCTCCGAAGATGAATCTGTAGTGAATGCTCATTTGCAACTTACTCTTCATGCTCTTTCAGTTTTCGACATCTGTCTAGGGAAATAAAGCAATTTCTGGAAACATGAGATTTTGACCTATCTCTTTTGTTCCTTTGGTATCTGCATTGTTTAACAATCTTAGAAATTTTTAGTGTGCTTTTTTGGAGTGGGTTTTTTGTTTGCTTGTTTGTTGTGGGTTTTTTTTTGTTTGTTTGTTTTATTCCTAATATGTCCAGGGGCTATTACCTTTGCTGCGTGTAAATTCTAGGTTTATAACTTTGCTATTAAATATGTGCTTGTGAATTCTTAGTGTATGTGACTTTAGCCTTCAGTAAAAGAAAGGGAGAATACAGTATTCCATAAAGGGCGTCTCAAGAATGTTCAGCAAGCTGATTTCTGAATTTCAGCACATTCTTCCATTATAGAGGACGAGTTATTAAGTGATGCTGTACTCTAGTCATTTAAAAACAAGAAGAAAAAACATACACTTTCCACTTTGCTGTTGAGCTGTATTTCTCTTTTTGTTCATGCTGCTTGTGCACCTCTCTTTTGAGGTCAGAATTGCTGCCACTGGTGCTGGTGGCTTGTGCTGCCACAGCCCTGGTCAGCTGCAAGGAACAAGCACTGAAAGGACTTAGGCTTATTTTACATGTGTTTTAAGTTTTGCACAAATTTAGTCTGCTCACTGGGACAGGGACTTGGAAACGTGCATATGAAGTGTCTGGAGAGCTGCAGCAAGTGATTTTCTTTGTCCCTGGGAGTTATGAAGTCAAGAACTTGAATGTGTTTTTCACAGTGGTGGCAAAAACTTGTATCCTTGAATATATATGACTTCTTAAAAGTCTGTATAGTATAGATAAGTCTCTATATAAGTCTTATATATAACTGTAAGTCTTATATATAACTTCTTACAACATTTCAGATGTTCACAGTGAAGTTTATAGATGTAGTCAATAAACAGATGAAAAATATTGCTCTATGAATAGTCTTTTGTAACAGCAAGTATTGAATAATTTACAAGTAGGTGTAAGTGCAATATCTTATGTTTGATTAGGTAAATAAATGAAGAAATAAGGAGAGAAATTAGACATGGAGAGACTGTCCAAGTCACAAGAATTGTAACTTCAAATTGAAACCTGTTATCCAAGTAAAGGCTGCATAATGTATCAATCTTTTCCTGTTGTTGCCTTTTAAACACTGCAAAGATGATCCTGAATTCAAAGAAACACATCTTCAGTTTGTGGACTCAGTTATATCTCCCTTGATGTTTATAGAGGTGGATTTATATCAGTCTGGCCACCTCCAAGACCTACTGAATTTTCCTCGTTTCCTTCAAATTTTGCAGCCTTGCCTACGTTCACTTCAAACGCAGTGAACTTCTTGACAATGATCCGTTGCATTGTTTAAAAATATTTTTCATATTTCATAAAACAATTGGTATTACTGCTTAACTGTATGTCTCTCTTCTTGTGTCCTTAGTTTTGCCAGCCTGGAGGATGGCAGCTTTCGAAAGAGAGGAAACAGCCAACGTTCTTTGTGGTGGTTCTGACTGACATAGACTCAGAGAGGCACTACTGCTCCTGCTTAACTTTCTATGAAGCAGAGATTAACCTGCAGGTAAAAACTTTACAATAAGTGACGAAAATGTACAAAAAGGTGTCTAGAAACAATAGAGGGTAACTCTAGAAAATATTTTGCTGTTCCTCTCATACAGAAATCCATGTATTTGCACAAAGGTGAGCTCAGTGTGCTTCTTTGTGGTTTTGGGGGTTTTATCTGTTTTGAAACAAAAAAAAGCAGCCAAAAACATCTCATAGAATTTCTCCTGGTGGTTTTTTTTTTGGTGTGGTTTTGTGTTTTTTTTTTTTCTTAGTTGGTTGGTTGGTTGGTTGGTTTGTTTGTTTGTTTTTAATGAGACAGGCAATATGATGTTTGACATAGCATGAATGATTCTAAGCCTTGTTCTAGGAAAAAGTTTATTAACTTACGCTCCCTCTGCTGGCCTGCTCCGTGGATATACATATTTCTGTAAGTGCATTTATTGGCAAGGTTTGTGTGAGGGTAAATGGCAAGATTTTAAAACTGATAGAATAATTGTTCAGTTGTTAGTTAGGTCAGATTTTAGGTGTCAGCCACTTGGCAGTGTTTGTTTTTAAGCATGTATTTAATTTTTCTTTTGGCAATCTTGTTCTTTCAAAAAGAGACATTTTGTTTCCCATTCAATGTAAAGTCCTCCACAGAATCTCTGGTGTGACTTAACACTTGGAATCTTTAGAATCTATGACGTAGGGAAAACCTAACCCGATCTGTAATTGCAGACTCTCATTGTTATGTTTTGAAATATTTTCTTTCCTACATAAAAATTAAAAATAAGTAAGACTTTGGCACTATAATATAATAGAATTAGTTAAGATTAAATAGGTAGCTAAGTAAAGTAATTTTTTGTTCTTTTAGTGAAGAACTGTAACATTATTGATTATTTTAAGAAAGTGGTTTTTAAGAAAACAAGAGCACTCTATTTATTACTACTGGAGTTGAAATTTTATTTGTAGGATAATTGAAAGACGTGGCATAGTAATAATAATGTTGTGCTTTTTCTAGGCAGAATTGGAAGCCAGAGAATAATAGTTTCATCAGCACTACAGTTTAGGTGGATATTTTTTGTAGATTATTAGAAGGAGTTAAAAGCAGAAATGTACCCAGAAATTTGACATATTTTAGTGTAGATCAACTGACACATTCCTATTAAAAATTCTAATGTCTGTCATATTTCCTTTATTTTACAAGTAGAGAGTGAAATATTCTATAGTAATTCTTTCCCAGCTGATAAAAATTTACAGTGGTTGACTCTTCCTCCACTCGATGTATTTCATAACATATACTAAATTTAGCAAACTTGTTATTTATCCTGTGGTTTCTAGCAGCTGCTTTTGATTCCCTATCCACATCTTTGAAGTAGTGCTCATCACAAAACATCCAGTATTAACTAAAAGGTGTTTTTTTTTTTCCTTATATTGCCTAAGTATTAATACAAAAAACCCAAAAGTTAAAAAAAAAAGCAAACAGTAAAAAACTGAGTGCAGCAGGATGTTGGTTACCATAATGCCATTCCTGGCTGTGTTGTAAAGAATGCATATTTTTCAGATGAACTTGCTGTGGTGAAATTTATTCTATGACTGCATTGTTTATAGCCAAACTTCCTGTTTCTTCCTGAAACCCAAAGAGAATAATTGAACGTGCCCTGTTACATGGTCATTAGGCAAGAATTCAGCACATGTACAATCTGTAAGGAAACATAAGCTTGTGAAGCATTGGACTATGACAGTAATATTGATTTAACCATTCAGATTCATGCCTCATTAAGCAGTCCATGAAACGTAGGGTACTTGAAATGAAATATGGGCAGTACCTTTCACAGTTAAATACAGTTCTTTTTTTTTTTTTTTTTTAAAACAGAATTATATAACTTGCTAAGACAAAAGTAAGATTAAATTTCAAAAAAACCCCCACAGAACCACTTCTTTCTCAGTAGGTTTCACCAGGTGAACCTTGCTGATACACAAGACTGGTCGGAATTCAGACAGAGCAGATTAGATATTTGGCTTGGCAGAATCATCTTCACCAAAAAAAAAAAAAGTGAAATCAACCACTTGGAAGTTTCTGTGAACTGGGAATTGAAAACAAACTGATTTCTCTGCTTGTGAATGCTAGAAGAGAGCTACCAAACCTTCTTTGAGCCTCCTGCATAATAATCGTAGAACCTTTTAGACACAATGGAGCCTGGGAAGACTCCTTCTGGAGCTTTGCTTCCCTGCATTCCTGCTTCAGTTGTTTGTTACAGGATGATTTGTAAATAAATGCTACCTGAAAAGTAAGGAGCTTGTACTCACATGGAATACCTGGGTGGTACCCATGATAACCTAGGATGCAAGATTAAGGTAGCAACTGTAAAAGCTGTGTAGTCTGCAGGAAAAAAACCACCCTCCCTGAAAGGCTATCTCTGCAAGCCCTGCATTCAGTTTAATCTCTTGGCAGTCGCATGTCGTGACAAGTTTTTCAGAGGAAAGCACAGGCTCTAGTTGTCAGCTGATGGCCTATTTTCAACTTCATATTCCTGGATAGAAAATAAAATGTTCTTTTATTAGTTGTTATCTATGAATCATAGTGGTGAAGTGACCCAGAGCTTAACATCTGCGTTGGGTGCTGGTCAGTTTGATTAGCAGTCAACTCCCTTGAAGTTGTGGTAATATCTAAAAAGGGTTGATGTTACCTTTAGTTTGGTTAATTCTTCATATCTGTACTCACAAGGAAGATGAACACATGATATTCCATTAAATAGGGAATAGAACTCACCTGGTGCTCTGTGATTTCAGGTGATACAGCTTTGCCATATAATCCTTCATGAATTGTTCTATGATGCTAGTCTCACTTAATTGTCCCAATAACATTTGCTAAAGCTGTATAAGGTTATGTTCCCTATAGATCTGGGTTTAAAAAGAAACATTAGAAAGTTTGACCTTAACAGCAAGTCTAAATTTTGGAATGTGGGTTCACTACTAGGGGCAGTCTAATACTGAATGAACAGTGGTGAAACTGGTGTCATTTAAAGACATCTCTGCTGTGTTCCAGAGCAGTTCTATGTGCAAGATTTCTCTCCCACCTCCAGTTCCTACTTGAGTGTAAAGAAATCTGAAATACTGAACTGGTTTCTCCTTCCAGCTTTTTATGTTTCCAGCACATGCTCTGTCTTATCCACGTTGCTGTCTGGCTTAAGGTACTGTATGGATACTCTAGCAAACAGAGCTGGATGCAATATTGACTTGCATATATCTGCAGGAATTAGGAGGAGGAGAGTGAGTTGAAACATCTCTGTTTTCCCTCAAAGTACCTTGAAAACTGGCTGGTTTTTTTTGGGGTAGTGGGGGAGTGGAGATGGATGTGAAGTTGTGTGGTGTCCCATTGCTGTCCCTTTTTGATCATTTCTGTGGACTTCAAATTTCATTGGTTTGAAACCCACTTGAAATGGTATTGATTTGGAGAAAACCTTGTCTTGTCAACCGGAAGAAGTAGTCTGGCAACTGAAACCAGAAGCTGCTGAGCAGCCAGAGGGTAATTCAGAAGAATCATAACTTACATCTACACCCATAAAACTCTGTGTTTGTAGCTTTATTAGTCATCAAAACAAGCAAGAGAAAGAAGCATATATATATATATGTATATATACACACATGCATACGTTAATTTATTAGTCTGTGTAGTTCTGCGTGGTGTACACACTGCTTGCTAAAACGAGGCTCTTATTTCTAACAGCAATTTCTGGATGTTGCCACTTAGAAGACAAAGACTTGATTTAATGCTTTTGACTCAGCAGATACTTCTACTGACCTCAGCTGTGCTTCTTACCCGTTGCGCAGTTAGGATTTATACTGACAGTGCTTGGAAGAGCACCACAGATAGGATCTTGGTAAAAAATGTTGACTCGCATAATTTGGGAACCTAATGGTCAATTTGTACATCGCTTCCCACTTGGAAAGAAATTTGCCCTCTCTTCCCAACCCCACCACCAACAAATTAGAGAATGATTTATGCCAGTAATTGAGCCTGTGCAACTGCATTTCTGGCATTACAGAAAATCTGCTCAACGTGATCAGCACAAACCCCCAAACATTTGTTTATAACAATCTCATTACAAGATTGTATCATTCTTATGTGTTGTCTTAAGCGTATGTGTGTTAAAACATTGGGATCACAAAGTTAGTCAGATTAAATATATCATTCTGGAAAATGGACATAAGTAATAATTCACAAGTCTCCTGTTTCCTGCCATTCACATGGTCTTCCTCTGTCTGCCCTCCCCTGCAAAAAGAGGAAAAAGAACTTGTAAAAATCCCAAACCATAAAATGGCAGATTCACAACATTCGCAGATATTTCCTGAGTCAAGGGAAAAACTGCCAACAAAATGACTGTGCTTCATAAAGTTATAATTTTTCTGCTTGGACTGGAGAGTTGGTGATCCTGCTGTGCTAAAGCATATGCTGCTCCGTGAGTCACTGATGTTTGGTTTCTGGCAGAGGATGAGAACTCTCAATTCAGTTGTACCCATTTTGTGCGTGAAATCCAATCCCCTCTGGATATTAGATTAGCATGTTATTCTTAAGATGAAGTTTTTGTGAATATACCAAATGTGAAATTTGTTCTGAGAATTACTTTTTGCAGTCAATGCCCCAAAATCACATTTTATGTTAAAAAAACCCCAATTTAACAAATAATGTTTGGTATATTGCATCATCATGTTTCTGAACCTACTGAAAAATGGCTGGTATGACATCATAGAGAGATTTAAGTAATGCCTTATTTCCTTCCTCTTGTGGCATAAACAGAAGGCTGCAGATAATGTTCTATATAAGAAACAGACTTGTATTTTAATGCCCTTTAATACATTTAAGGTCCCCTTTAGACCAGAATTTAAAGTTAAGGTCAGAACAGTTGTACAAAGGAAAGCATATTTCCATCTTCCTAATAACTCTGGCAGTAATTTCTCCTGTCTTGTTTATCCTCTGGCTGGTGCCTTCGCACACTCATCCCCAGTTTGAACTCACGCTGTTGCAGGGTACGA